CAATCCTGTTTTACTGATGTTTCACATTCTAACTCCTCCCTGAAGATGACGGTGGGGATGACTGGCATCCAGTTAATCAGTCAGTAAAGATTTATTAAGCACAGTTACTGAATGCTGAGAACAACTTTCTGACCCTCTGTCTTAATTCAAGGGTAACATTTACAGTGTTGAGGGGAACACCTCAGAACCTGTGAGAAATGGCCAAAGCGGCAGTCAGAGGAAAATTTAGAGCCTTCGATACATTTACTAGTAAACAGAGAGGATGAAAAACAAGTGAGTGAAGCATTCAACCCAACAAACTACAAAAACAGCAGTTAAATAAAAGAAAAACTAAAAGAATGCCAGGTGCAGTGGCTCGAACCTATAATCTCAGCACTTTGGGTCGCTGAGGCAGGAGGATCATTTGGGCCCAGGAGTTTGAGACCAGCCTGGGCAACACAGTGAGACTCCATCTCTAAAAAAAAAGAAAAAAAGAAAAAAGAAAAAAATAATTTTAGTTAGCTAGGTATAGTGGCATGTACTTGTGGTTCCAGTTACTTAGGAGGTTGAGGCAGGAGGATTGCTTGAGACTGGGAGGTCGAGGCTTCAGTGAACCGTTTTTGCACCACTGTCCACTCTAGCCTGGGCAACAGAGTAAAACCCTGTCTGGAAAAAAAAAATGCAGAAAAAAAATATGAAGGAAACAAAAACCAAGGTCTGGTTCTTTAAAAAGATTAGTATAGGCCGGGCACGGTGGCTCACACCTGTAATCCCAGCATTTTGAGAGGCCGAGGAGGGCGAATTACGAGGTCAGGAGTTCAAGACCAGCCTGGCCAGCATGGTGAAACCCTGTCTCTACTAAAAATACAAAAAGTTAGCTGGGTGTAGTGGTGGGTGCCTGTAATTCCAGGTACTTGTGAGGCTGAGGCAGGAGAATTGCTGGAACCTGGGAGGCGGAGGTTGCAGTGAGCCGAGATGGTGCCATTATACTCCAGCCTGGGTGACGAGAGCAAGATTCCATCTCAAAAAAAAAAAAAAAAAAAAAAAAAATCAGCATAGTAGTATAGAATATCTGTGGACATCTATGGACCAAAGATTCTTTACTCAGGAGGGAGGGAGGAATATTTTTTCCTCCTACCAACCTTCCAGTAACAATTGCTTGGCAAAATATATCAGTTAACCCAAAATGTAGGGACTTAAAATAAGAAACACGTTTCTCATGGTTTCTTTGGGGCAGGAATCCATCTGGGGTTTAGCTGGGAGCCTCTGGCTCTGGGTCTCACAAGGCTGCAGTTAGGGTGTCGGCTGCACGAGTTGTCTCCAGGCTGGCGTGGGGTGACATCCAATGCCAAGACGTGGCTGTTGGCAGGTCCTGGTCTTCATTGGTGGTTGACTGGAGACGTCAGTTCCTTGGCACATGGGCCTCTCCATAGAGCTACTCACAGGGTGGTTTCATTGCTTCTTCCCCAGGGCAAGAGCAGAGCAGAGGGCGAGAGAGACACCGAGACAACATTTTTTTTGTAACCTAACCTTGGAAGTGACACCCCATGACTTTTGCCATATTCTAGTATTCTTTTAGTTAGAAGCGAGTCCCGTGTCCAGCCATGCTCAAGGGAGCTGATTAGGCAAGTGTGTGATTACCAGGAGCTGGAGATCATTGGGGCCATCTCAGAGGCGACCACCACACAGAGGGCTCAAGGTCACACTGGAGGTCAAATGTTCTTTTTGCTAAGTGAGGGCAGTGCCACACACCTTGGCAGGTGCCTAAGCCAGGGATTGGCTGCTAGACAGTAAGCTCTGCTACTTTCCAGTCACATGAGTCCTGGGATCCCTAATTCCCCACCTGAAAAATGGGGTAAGAACAGAGATGAGGGCTGGAGAAAGTGGTTTGCAAAGTGCAGAATGCCCTTCAGAAGGTAGCCATTGTTAAGAGGACAAGGTTACAGAAGTGAGTATCGGGATTTCTGTTCTTTTTTTTTTTTCCTTTGAGACAAGGTTCGTCACTGTCACCCAGGCTGGAGTGCAGTGGCACAATCACGGCTCACTGCAGCCTGGATCTCCAGGGCTCAAGTGATTCTCCTACTTCAGCCTCCTAAGTAGCTGGGACTACTGGCGTGTACCACCATTCCCGGCTAATTAAAAAAATTTTTTTTTAGTAGAGACAGAGTGTCTCACTATGTGGTCCAGGCTGGTCTCGAACTCCTGGACTCAAGCAATCCACCCACCTCAGCCTCCCAAAGTGTTGGGATTACAGGGGTGAGCCATCACGCCCAGCCATTCTTTTTTCTTTTTTTTAAAATCTTTCATTGGTATAAAACATATACACAGCAAAGTATATAAATCATATGTATGGTCATGTTCTCCTGCTTTTGAACATTCTTTTAAAACAAGTGAACTTTAAGTTCCTTTAACTTTGTGTACTTTCTGGAACCTTCTATGGTGAGATAATATTATTATGATAATCAGAAAAGTGCCACCTTTAAAAGGTATAGTTTCTGTTGATTAGTTTCCAGGGAGAAAG